TTTGTCCATGGTGAGTCTTAAAAAAAAAAAAAAAAAAAAATTGGAAAACTACTGATCACTGTATATTTTCAGGTACCCATCATCCCCTTAGCATCTGAGCAGCATGCAAGCATAAATTATGTACACTTGCAGCATTCCTGTGGGATAGGAGAGCATTAGTAATCATTAATGGTTAAGGAAAACTGAGGCCAAGGAAAGCAGAGTAATATGACCATGCAAGGCATCTGTGTTAGGGCTGAACGCTGCATCCAGTCATCTTAAATTCCATCCAGAAAGATGCCCTTTCCTGGCAGGGATCCTATCTTCAAGGCTGGAATATGTTGCAAGTACTAATATTAATCTTCCTCCTCCTGCAGCTTACATCGCTAGCGTTCCTGTCAGGGGGAGCGGATTGGAAGTCAGCACACTAGCATTAAACCATTGTGTTGTTTAGCTCAGGTCAAATGAGATATGGCCATCAGTTTGGAGTGCTGGATCCATGTCTGTCTCAACTCTTGAAATTGTCATTGAGGGTGAAAGCTCTAGAAGTGTGAGAGGCTTAAGTAAGTTATGTGTAGACAGTATGTAAGCATGTCAATCCAGTAAGCCTGATGAAGAACTGGGAAGGGCTGGATTAGATAATACAATGTGAAGTGAATGTTCATATTCTCCTGTATCTGTTTAGTTTTTGATACTGCAAAGATATAATTACATGAGTAGAAAGTTTTTTGTGTGAGGAGTGGTAGGAGAAGGCTGAATTTCTCCTCTTTTCTAGACTACTTTTATGCGTTAGTGATAGGAGATGTGGCTGTATGTTACGAAATACTGACAGTCCTGAGTGGCTTGTAGGAATATTTTAAATCCACAAGTAAATTTCTGGACTTTTTATTGAGTTTGTAGTTGAATGCATTAGCAAAAAAAGTTGGCTAAGTTGGAGGCAGGACTTAACGCATCTTGAAATGATGGGACTTAAAGACCTTCTCTGATTTCTCTGGAACAAATCCTGCCACCGCTGATATGTAGGAGATCAAGTTTTGAGTGCGAGGTTTTCTTTTTTTTCCTCCTCCCTTGGCTTCCTCTTTTGCTGCCCTTTCTGCTAAACACATCTATAGCACCCTTGCTAAAAAGGTAGTAAGATGCAGCGATTACTGAAACTATTCAGTGTTGTACATGGAGCACTCACAGTGCCCCTCTGAGGTGGGAATGTCTTACATATGGGTAGACTGGACACAAATCAAAGTGATGTGTGATCATGTACAAATAGAGCTAAGATAACATCCTAAAGATGACTGTGATCTTTGGTGATACATGACATGAGTCAAACTGCTTGCTGTCTGCCTCATTTTGTGCCTTATGTAGAATGGTGATACCACTTAGCCACTTCAGTTTCTTCAGCTTCATAAATGCTGGTAAGCGCTCAGCTCCTCATATTGAGAGGTATCAATAATTCATTATCACTTAATTGCTGGAGATAGTTTATGATTGATTTGGTAAGTAGGACGCCAGCAAATTGTGCATTTCCCCTGTCAATTTCAATTCACTGCTTTGGCAAATGCCTCCTTGTGGGAGTTGTTCAGATGTCTTTTTCACTCCTTCATGGATGCTCTGGCCTAGGGCCACAAAAAAAAAAGAGGATCTTGCAAAAAGAGTAGGACAGACAGCATCGAATTGAGTGTGGAATGCTTTTTACATCAATAGCTTGTCATTGAAAGCCTGAACTGCAGGCAGACTGGAGTTGGAAGGCTCAGACCTGTGCGTATGACGCACACCTTCACTGTGTGCCACTTCTCCATTTCTCTTAGTTGCTCAGATAAAGAGGCTCATCCTGGTCTTGTCTTCCTGCTGGTTCTCAAAGTGGTTAAAGATCTATCACCTTTGTCTGATGCTGTTGTCTATAGGCTTGGCTGAGAAGGCAAAATTGCCGCTTTCATACTTTGAATCACGTGGGCTATTTCTGATGTTTTTCCTGATAGTGGGAATGCATCATTGGAGTGAATGTCAGTTGTAGTTATATTTTACTTTCTTTATGTGAGGAATATACTTTAAATCATACCATCGGACACTGAGATTTGGGATTATGCAAGTTCTCCTTCCAGCGTTTCCTGATTGGAGAAGGGGAAATGCCTCCAGTCTCTGAGTGGAGAATGAGAAGTTTCTTTTCTGGCAGCAGTTCAGACACTGGAGAGGGGAACTTAAAATAGATGTCTAGGAAAATATGTGGTGGTTGTTTTTATCAGCCCAGGGTAGTCTCTGTTCCATGTAGGGTGCTAAATAAAATAAAAATGAGGAAGCAATGCCATGTCAGTCTTATATGCATAGAAATAAGAGAGGGGAAGGACATACTGGTTTATCTGTATGATTTATTCCCTAGGGCTACTGGAAGATTTGGTTATCCAATGCCTCATCCAGTCCAAATATAAGTAGGTACAGAAGGATTTTACATATTTAATCACAATATCTTCTGATTGCGTTCTTTTAGTTTGAGGCATTGTCTTTATCTTACGGAATCTAAACTGTTTAATACCTGTGCAGGCTTCAGTAGTTTGAGTAGTTCTTAGAGGCTGTGCTACATCCTAATAAATAGCGTGCAGTCTTTAGTAGCATATGTTTTATCTGAGTCTGGTTTGCCGAGGAGCCATTAGAAGGGAATGTTTCTTTTTCCTGCAAACATATATAGTTTCAAAGTGGATTCAGCTTTTATCTTTCTTAAGCACATATCAAGAATTATTGTTACTACTTCTACACATTTTTGAGGCTGTTTATCCTGGTTCTCCCCCTCTTTAAGTGAACTTATATGGCTTTATTTCAATGGATGAACTCCCTGTTTTAAACTTCATTGAACAGAAAAATGAATTGACAACTGACTCTGAAAAACAAGCCTTTTCATATTTAGTTTGTTGAACTTGAAGCTGAATTCCAAATTTAGGAAAAGGATGATGATGTAGCATGATGGTCAAAAAGTAAATGTAAGCATGATATTCTTTCACTGATCTTGTCTCCACCTATTTCTTCCCCTCCATACTTACATGAACTTGAAGCAAATCTTTAAACATGAGGAGGGATCCTTGTCCTAAGAAAGAGAGAAGTAATGGAGATTTGATCTCTGGGAATTTGTTGCTGTCTCTTGTAGACAGCTGTTGTAGATCTGATCTGTATTTCAAGTGCTTACTCCCTGAATCTGAAATGTTTTACTCAGTATCTTTGATTCAGTGCATGTTCAGAGTTTCCCATGGTGACCCTGTTACTTCCAGGTTGTGCTGCTCTGAGACAGTGAGAAGTACCAGGACCTGCAGTCACCTTGCCTTGGAGCTGGGAGTCTGCAGGCTTTAAAGCTTTTGCTCTGAGGTGAGCTCTATTTGCTGGAAGCCCTGTTAGTCTTGGGAGTCAGCATTCCTGAGCTCAGAACTTGGAATCCCTCTGAGCAGTGTCTAGGATCTACAGGAGCTTTCATCCTACAGACCTATAAAAGGTTGGGGATAGAAATCTGAGAGCTGTGCCATCCTGGACAGTTTTCCTAGGATTTGCCATAGAGCTCAGAGTAATTTCCTGGTTTGCAGCTCGACTTCTGCCTCTGCAGTGAATGCAGGCTTTCAGAACCAAAGTTTGAATTGAGTTTCTGGGCGCTTCTGGGCCGTGCTTTAGCATGTAATGGACAAATGTGGTGTGCCCATGGAATGCCTTGGATGCACTCACCTGCTGACCCTTCCAGTTCATGTCTGTGGAATATCCGTCCCCATGAACAGAGGGTCTGCTGTAGCTCTTGAAAGCCCCGGCAGCTGCTGACGAGGCTGGAAAGACTGTTGGTTTCAGTGAACAACTTTACAGGATTCCCTAAAGACTACTTAATTTCTTCAGGTTACTTTTTTCTTCTTGTTCCAATTTCTAGTTAGCAAATTTCCTTTAAAAATGTTGGTTTCTAAAAGCCCAGTTTCAAAAGATGGAATTTCATGATATCTGGAACAAACTAATAATTTTAGTCGGCTCTAATTTGTTGCGTTCACGCAGTATCACTCTTACCTCTCTTCAGACTAAGGAAGAAAATAAAAAAAAAAAATTAAAACTGGGAGTTTTGACTTGAGTTTGTTGTGACTGGGATATCTTGAGTAACGTGCCTGCACAGTATGTTCCTAAATCTTTTTTAAGAGTCACAGAAAAAGTGATTGTATATTTTTCTAGGCAGCAAATTGAGAAGGGAAAGACAGTAATTTTAAGGCCTGAGTATAACGGCTTAAAGCTTCATTTTTTCATAAACAAAATGCTTCATTCTGTGCTCCTGCTCACCAATGTGATTCTAATAGCTTCAGATGAATAGCACAGATGTAAAAGTGGTTCAGTAGAAGGAGGAGTTGAGAGCTGGGCTGCACTATGGTGAGGGAGTAACTGCATTTGTTTCCTCTGGCACACTCAATTTTGTGCTCTGATTTGGGAGTGGGTGGGAAGAAGGAAGCTTATTCTGTCTATATATTTAGAGAGTTTTACCTTGGTTTTCATCTTGCACTAAATAAGTGTTTGATCACAAAACATCTCTGTTAGCATGTGCTTCTTGCTGACAAGAAGTCTCTGAAAAACACAAAAGGTATCTTGTGATACAGGAAAACTTGTGGTGTCACCTGGCTCTGGCAGTCATTGAGAATGACATGACAATCCGCTGTGTCTGGGCCTGATGAGAGATTTTGTTCCGGGTACTCAAGCCTGTTGTGTAGGGTGTTCTGGGCTTTTTGTGAAATTTATTGATTACAGGGTTATCTTAAATGTACCAAGAGGTTTTTTTTTTTTTTAATGAATACTGCAATAATGACAAAAATGAAGCTGCTGAGACTCAAAAATGAGTCTCTGCAAGGAATAGTCTTCCTGCCTTTGGCATGAAACTTAGTAACTGTTGAAGGATACCTAGTGCCATTAGCAGTAGATTTCTAGAGGAAGTAAGAAACTAATTTTCCACAGACAGCTTGTTTCTTGGAGTTGGAAATATCCCTTTTGTATCTTCTTCACACAGGTCAGCTAACTGAGGGATCTTATGTTGCATGTGTGGCTTGTTCCTTAGATGTTGCCTCCCTCCTTCCCCTACAACAAGTCTAAATGATGGGGTGAATCTTGCTCCTTGTCCACTCTGCAGTCAGCACTTTGGATTTTATAGAAAAGATGCTGGTCATATGAGTAATCCTAGTGACCCTGTAAATGGTAAGGAAACAATCACTATTATCATCAGCTTAAGGACAACTGTGTGTGGGATAATGTCATACAGTAGATGTGTTCAGGTGTCCTTCCTTCTTTGGTTTCACGTATGGAATTAACTTGCCTTGTTTGGTGATGATAACACTTTGGCTCAGTTAAGTTTGTGTGTGCAGTAATCAGCTGTAATCCAGTCAATACTTGGTTTTCCTTTTAGATTAATTACTTTGGAAATCTACTGGAAAAGTGTAAAGAGCTGGTAGATAATTTAAATGCTACTGGCTGAGCAGGATCATCTGCTTCATATATAAATACATGAGTATGGTGTAGGATGCTTTCTAGCCTGTGATTTGTTTCCCAAGAACTAAGCTGTTTTTAGGGTGCTTGTGTTCGGCAAATTTTCCCAATTGTATTGTATTCATTGTTATCTTAGTTTCCCCTTTACGCTTTCAGCTAGTCCACAGAATATGAATCAACGTACATGGTAAAAGAGTGAAAAATTTATTGTAAGTGTTAACTTCTTGATGAGAAATATACATAATGTCCAGCAAAGAACGAGTGTGTAAATCTTTCCTCTGTGTTATAGACTATATTGTGCTTGAATATATGGAGTTTAATTGCATAGAAGGGTAGGAAGACAGGAAAAACCTGTAGTAATCACGTTGTGCATTTTTTGAGTGTTATAAATTTAAATTACATGAATTGTATTTATTAATTGAGCTTCACACATTTATCCTTTTCCTTTTTAAAAAGGACGGACCCTTCAATGAAACAGAAGCCCTGTTTGAACAGAAAGCAAAGGCAGTACCTTCAATATAATGGACAACTATACAGTACAGCTCATTTCTCCTGGAAACGCTCCAGTTACGTGGCCATTAATAGCTAAATTATTAATGAAGTGTTGCTGAAAGAAGACACTTTTGACCATTGGCTATCCTTTTTGCTCTGTGTGTTTGTCGCCAGCGTCATAACAGTCTCCTTTCGCACGAAGTGCTGTGATGCAGACAGGCTTTCTTTCAGACTTGAAGTGGAAAATGTGGCTGAGTGTCCGTGTTCTTTTGCAAAGCTCAGTTTTTCTAGTTGTTTCTAGGCATTTACTTTTAGGAGCAGAGAATCAATAAATGACAAGCATCCTCTTCCGTACTTGCAAACAAAGGCCTGTCTGGAATTAATCAGTGTGGGGTGTGCTTGCAGAGCTCCCTTGGAAAACAGAAGAGCCTGCTATATTATGTAATTTGAGATTGCAGGTTACCCAGTGGGATCACTTGCTTCTCTCCTGGTGATGCTTATCTTGTGTCCTAGACAATATTGCATGCTGTTTTCTGCTAATGTAGCAATTAGTATAGCCATCCTGTTAAATAGCTGCAACAGGGTGTGACTCAGCATTGGTGTTTATGAAGAGGAAAGTATCCCTTTTTGGAAGCTTGTTTAAGAGCAGTGAAATCTTTTGTTCATAATAAAAATGACAAAAGGTGGTTGAAAAGATCCCTTACTCATGGACTGTATCATCTGAGTGCAGAGTTCCTCTTCTCAGCCAATTTTTGCCTTTGTAAGAGTCACTTCTATGCAAAAGCACTGATCTCTATATACTTCTGTAACTTGCAAGTCTCAAAATATAAGCGAAGGGAAAACTTTGGGAAGATTGTTTATAATTGTATAAAGTGAAAGCCTCTCCTACTTCTTTTGTAGGAGGAGACTCATCAGTGCTTAAGTCTCTGCTCTCTTTAACTTAATTATTTCCTCTCTGTTTGCTTTACATCTTGTCTGAAGTATATAATCTCTTTCTAAAATGTTCAACTTATTTTCAGAAGTTATAGTAGGGTCTGTTACTTCAAAGAGCCTCTCATCCTCCCCATGGGGCCTGTTTCACTGATCATAATATAGCAGGTTTAGAGAAAAGAAATAAAACCTCAGAGTATGAAATGTCTCATTTGACCAGACTTACTACTTTGGAAATCAGAAGCTTGTCCAATGTGAACAGCAGCTAGTATGAACTAAAAGTGGGCTGGGACATCATTCTTGCTTGAAAGAATTGGAGTTGCCTTAACAGCAGAGATGGCCTGTAGAAATGCAGTGGCTTGAGACTGCTACTCCTGGTTGGTGCTGTTGTCGGTGTGTGAAGTGGGATAGGAGAAGCTTTCACTGATGCCCAAATGCGTTACACTAACGGACTGGTAAATGGTACTGGCCATTAGTCTAGCACTAAGTTTATATTACCTACCAGAGTGTCCTACATATCCGATTTTTATTGTCTTCTGAATATCTGGTAGTGAACGTTGTCGTTTGGGTAGGGATAGGAAGAAAAGTGCTAATGTGTATTTATGGAGTAGTAGAGAACCATGGTGTTAGAGCCTAGCTAGTTACTGATTCCTTAGGAGTGGTGGGGGAGTAAGAGAAATTTGAACCTGGTAGTTGTGGAGAAAATATGTTTGGGTTGTCCTTTTATTCCACAGGTTTCTTTCCCTTGTTGCCTTGTGTCATCCAGTCCCTACTGGTATCTACTGTGCAGAAGCCAGTGTTGCTTGGCAACACTGCTCGTTGACCAAAAAGAAATTACTGTTGAAACTCAGCAATGGACAAGCTGTGTTGCCTTTGTCGTTACCCAGTCATCGTAGTCATTTTTTTTCTTTCAGTCCAGTGGGAGGGGAGAAATAAACAAGCTTTCATGAAGTGTGATATCTTTCTTTTAATTTTGATTAATCAAATACATTCTTTACCAGTGAAGAAACACACACGTGAGACCCACCCTGCTAAATTTACACCCTGTAATTTTCAGACATTCATTGCCACTAAACTGGCAGAGTGACTGGAGCCAAACATACCTGCTTTGCAATTATATCTGCTGGGCTGGTATTTATGGGAATGTACAACTGAGCCAATGAGACTGGAAATTAGAATTAACCCTTAGTGGCGACAAACTGCAATGGCTGTTTCGCTGGTATATTCCTCAGGACACTCGGGAGCCCCAGTTATGGTGATTCTGAAATGCTACTGCAGATGATAACATTTGTTTCCTTAGAACCTTGGGAAAAAAAAAAAAAAGCAGGGGGGAGGGAAATCCATGAACTTGGTATGCAGTGGTTTCTACATCTCAATTTGGCTTTTGTGTAAAAACAAATGTACTCTGTCTTAGAGCGAAGTAAATATGAACTTTGAGAATAAAAACTTTAATACTGAGAAGCTCTGTGTCTTGCCTGGGTATCTTGAGTCTCCTGAGTCACTGGAATATTATTAACTTTTGTTTTTGTTGAAAATTTTCACAAAATTCTGGAGACTGCCCATTCCCTCCCTTCCTCATCTGTGTAACACTGTAGATGGTTCACAGGCTCACTGCTTTGCTCCACAACCCTCCCAGTATTTGTCAGTTTGGCATTTTCTGTCTGGACATGCCTCTGCCCTGGCTTTTTGAAAGGACACTTTGTAGCCTGAGTAAATATGACAGATGCCAGGAGGAATGTGGCGTTTTCAGGGACTGTTTAACCAAGAAAATGATCTATGGGGTTGTAGCAAGGTTCTAGATTTTTATTGGGGGGCTGGGGAGGAGTACTCGCTGGAGGAATACGTGACTCAAAATGTTGAGTGAAGCCTTAAAAACCAAAATGGTTTTGTAGTTAATCAGAAACGTGTTAACTTATGTTAACTCACAATTTGTCCAGGAATTCAACAGTCTTAGTAAAATACCACATTCAAGTTGGGAAGGTGCAAGTGGCTTAAGTGAGATACCTAAAATACTTGGATTAGGGACTGAAGTATATAAATGCTTATTCTTCCCTAACAGCTGGAGTGCACTGTGAAGCTTCTCTTCAGTGCCTCTTATCTAATGGGTACTTTGATCAGGTGAGATGATTTTCTTTTTCTAAGGACAGGATAGACTTTAAAAATGGACATTGCCTTTGTTGGCAAGTGTTTAGAGGATTTGGGCAAATAAAACAGAATTGGCAGGAATCAAAGAAGAAACTGAAAAGGAAGAAAGCTGAAAGACCGCGTGGCCTAAATCCTGGACTGTTGCTTGTATAGCCCTTTCAGACACTTTGACCAGCGTTGTCCCTGTTGCTTGGTGTTGGGGGGGGGGGGGCAGTGTCAGGTTTCCTGTACACACATTAAAACACATTTGGCTTTTTTCCCCCTCTGTTTTTTGCTAAATCTTCCTCTGTCCAACTTCATTCCAGTATTCCTCCCTCTTCACTGTGATGTTAAACATAGCAACTGTTGAAAGAGCCAAAATCCAAGATTGCATGTATTACAAGTAAACCCATGATTTTACAAATTGCTTTAAAGCAATTTGTAATGTGTGGTTTGCTTGGATAGAATCTTGCTATGGCAGTTTTTACTGGAAAGAATTGGTCACATATGCCATAGAAAAAAATTATGCACCCACACTACACACCCCACATTAACTTCCCATCTGCAGGAAGACACAATGTTAAGTTCCGCTGTAATGGAGAAACATCATTTCTGTGAACTAGAGCTTCTGTTACAATGAATAAGTGAAATAGATAAGGTGAAACTAAACTCCTGTGAGAAGAGTGAGCCTCTGACTTCAATATAATCCCTTCTGTGTACCTTCATAACAGTATGTTTCCCACTGACAAAATGCAAATGCCATTTATTTTCCTATTATTGATTTGCTTACAGAAAACAGTAGAAATATAATCCATGCAGCAAATAGGTCATTTTATCTTCTATATACATTTTTATTATTCTTGTATAAAGCTCATCAAAGAGCTCCGTTTGAAGTCGGGGAAATCATGTTTTAGATAGGTGGTTATAAAAACTGTTTTTTGTTTTTTGTTTTTTTAAACTTGGTATGATTATTTTCCAGGTCTCTGGTAGTGATTATGGGACTTTCCCAATTTCAAATAAATAACCAATTGTTGCCTACTTTTACCATGTGATTTAACTTTCTTTGAGGGTTGCATAGGGGAGGACACATAGCCAGACCTACCAGAAAGAGCCAAATGCATGTAATGCTTTGTTTTTAATAAAAGAAACCTCTCAAGTCTAAAGTA